AGCAATGCGAGGAGGAAGGACCAGGCCTGCGATAGCCCAGAGGACCACCAAAAAGACTGACCGTCAGACTGACCCAACCCAAGAGAAAGCCGACCGTGCAAATGCTAAGCGAGCCTAGCAAGAGCGGGGAAGTAAAGAGGGGGAACCACCGCGAGGCAGTTCCGGCCAGAAGAGAGGGCCCCCAAGAGGATTAACTCCGGGGGGAGGATAGTAGGGGCCATAGGTAGTGCCTGGCCAAGCGGGAAGTGAAAAGAAGTGGTCTAGCACCCCCTAGCAGGGGGGGTGCGAGACCCGTAAAAGTGGTGATAGTTCTCTGGTTTTGAGTCGTTCCCGATTAGGAAATCTTTTTCAGTGACCGGAGTTGTAACGGAGACGGAGCGTGATGAGGCAAGTTATTCGGAGATGGTTGGTATGAAGACCGGGTAGGTGATCGACTTGCCACATATGAATTTGACATCCTGATCAGTAATCAGATAGGGCAAGTAGCGCCCAGCATGGACGATCTGATCTTTACGGTTCGGATGATATTCTGACTCTACCAATACACAGTTGAAGTTAATGGTATGTGGAACCTGGACCTTCTCAGTATCAACTACGATATGGTAGGTACCCACACTGCAGTGGCAAATATACTACTGATCATCATACCTCTTAAGCCATGCACTGGATTCATGATAATTCTCACTTTCAGGCAGGATAGCCAATTCCGGAATGCTAGATTTATTGACCTCTAGCAATTCCATGCTTGGATCTAGCTCTTGGTATATAGATTCCACTTGTGATATTCTTACCTGGATATCCATAATCTGTTCAGGAAAGGTTTAAGCTTCATTACAGGGCCCCGTTTCCGAGAAGCAGGGTCAAAGTAACCTAGTTTATTCTGATTAACTGGGAAATGAAATTGTTCAAATTTGACCAAAACTGACAGAGCTATAGTGGTTTGAAGTTGTCTAACTTTGACGAGCTCTATCTCACTCAGTTTTGATCTGATTCAGACAATTTGTCTTTTAGTCTGGAGTTAATAACCTGCTCTAGCCATCCTATTTGCAAGATATGGGACCCTGTAATGAAGTCTGGAAATGTTATCATTGAAAAGCAGGTATTTGGGAGATGGGAGGACTCTTGCTCCCATATCCTGAATGTACTGGCACTCCCCTCTGATTTAGTGCATATTTTGCAACTATGACAAAGGGATGTTCATTCTTGCAAAGGATAGACAAGATACTTTCTAGAGAGGTAGCACTCTGTGACCCTGGTTCTGCCATATGAGGTGTGAACCATTCGCATTGTGGGTAATGATAAGCTTCTCAATTTCGATAACTTTGGTTGATCTGATGTGTTTGTGTGGGATAATGGTTGAAAGCAATAGAAGAGCTAGGAAGAGTGCAGTTGACAGTTAAAACGGTTTCATTAATCTGATAAGGTAGCACCCAACTTTCCTTACCAGACCAATGTGACTGCATAATTCATCAGTCACGCCTCTCGCTCCTTTCCCTTGCCTTTCCCCTACTACCTGCCAACTCTTTAATCCAATTACTTTTATTCACTTTAGCTACTTCATTTCACTCTGCCACAAGCCTTTACTCAGATCCTCACCTCGATTGTCAATCCCTATTTCAATGCTGCTCTGTTCTCCCCCACCCTGCCCTCCGACATTCCTCTAACCATCACATTCCTTTCATTTTTTGTATTGCAATATACCAGCTATCATCCAACTCCTTACCCTTTCCCAATGAAAACATTCTGGCTTACCTGAACCTCTTCAGTTCACTTTGCCAAAACCTATTGGTCTGATAATGACCTCCACTTGTAACTTATATATATTCCAAAGCCCCCACAGTTCCACCCCCACTGGCTGTCCTACCATTACCCGGATTCTACCTTGTCCTAACTATCATTTGACATAAGCTGCAGTCCTCGACTGACCTATGGGAAAGACTGTTTTACCCTATGGGGCCTACAGTCCTATCTACCTAGAAGTAGGCAGGTTAAACAAGAGCTTTCCATAGGTAAGTCAGATAGGTCGGGTAGAGGCTCTACTTCACTTTGTTTGAGGTTGTGTAAGATGTAAACTAGAGTATGCTACTATGTGTAGTAGTTTGTAATCAGATGAACAAAGCAGAGGACATGGGATAGAATATGGGGAATCTTGGGTACACTGAAATGATATTACTGTATACTTTTGACTGAATACAACTATTCTAAAATAGGTACACATTCTTATACAAGGGTATTTGTATGAATGTGGACCAGACAAACCCCACTGGTGATTAACATTTTCTCCATCACTGAAACCAGAAATACCCTGTATTTCCAATCTACTGTTTGAAAAAGAAAAAAAGAAAAAAAAGAGGAAAAGAATAGTCTTTCAAATTTGTCTAATACTTCATAAAACCGATCTAAAAAACAACAAAGTACTTTAATTACTTATTAGGAAAAGAGAAATGGTTTATTCTTTCTTGTCAGGTCTACTACCAGCGTAGTTTCTTCAAGGGTTGTAGTCTAAGATAAGTTGGGTTGGTTCTAGGGACCCTTTAGCCCCCACCTGCTGCAATTCTGTCTGCGTATTTCCAACATGATTATCCAGGATAATACCAACTACTAGAGTACAGTACACCATAAAACCTGATTACTGCGATAAGGGATGATCACCCCGTTATATGACTTATGATGTGCCGACACATCAATGATCTGTGAAAGCTAGAACCCAGGATAGCCAGGTAATAGTTGCTTGGCAACAGGCGGTATTCCAGCAACCATAGAGGGGGTGGTTGGTAAGTGAGGCAAACTTGAGCTCTACAGGCCATAATTTCCATATATTTATCTTAGTTAAACCTATGGTCACTAAATCCTCTGTCTCTTGTACAGTTTCCCAGAAAAAGCTCAAGCATACTAAAAGGTTAGCTAAAATCAATGTCTAGCAAACAAATAGTTCATGACAAGGTCTCAGGTAGGAAGTCATGCCAGTGCAAAGATAGAATACCTACTATATCAACTCATTGTAGGACTAGTGGTGGGGGGCCCAAGCCAGGAGAAATAGCTTGTTCTCCATGGATTTTATTTTTCCCCATTTTTTCCCATTTCTCTACCTCTACTATCATCAGAATAAAGGGTAGATGGTCACAGGCTTTTACACATGTAAATCAATTGTGCTATTAACTATATAAATAGCTACTCTGACATGTCTTATTGTTCATTTACCTGGCACAAGGGTTCTCCAGCCATCTAAATCGATGAGGCACTGATTGGAGCCAAAGCAAGAGATAGGGTCATAGGTGGGGGGGGTAAAAAGAAAGTAATATCAGCTGCGGTTGAACTGAGACCACCAGTGTGTTAGACTGGTGTCATAACCAACTACACAATAAAACCAGATTACAAGTACCGACCACACTGCTTTCTTAAATTTAACAAGTAGTATTATAAGTTATGTAACGTGTTGGGCCAGGCCCTAGTCACGTAGCGGTAGGATAGGAGCAGATGGTTTCGTGGTCAACACGAAGCGAGCGCTGCTTGATATAGGAGGCTTCGAACGGGGTGTAATAGGAGATCAAAGAAGTAACCGTTCAACTAAGTATATTTTAAGAATACTGTCTGTCGAAGTCTGCTGTTTCCATCGCGCGAATCAGCGTTCTTTAAATACAGCATATCGCTTATCTCCAGTATGAGCGATATTGCAAAACAATATGTGTATCAACCGATAGCACATGAAACAATACAAGTATCAAAAGATACTGTGAAACCAAACATGAAACAACATGTGTATCAAACGATAGCACACGTAACAATACAAGTATCAAACGATACTGTGAAACCAAATATAAAACAACCTAGTACCCGTACCGGTTACAAGTTACCTCTACATATATGGTCCTTAGAAAGAGCATTTCTTCATAGCTCTGACATAACTCTTTTTAACCGTTTGACAATCAATTCTCTTAAATCACTATTTTTCTTGTGGTTTTATTGCAAATTTTTCATTGTACTGTGTTTTTCTGTATAGTCTTAAGTATGTTAATATGGTGCCCGTATTCAAATGGAGTGGGGGAAAATTTAGTCCCTAGTAGGGTAATGGTAGCTCCCTAAAGTCCTATTTAATTACCCATTTCTGCTATTTGTCCCTCAACTCCTACTTTCCTTCTGCCAAACATAATGCTATTCCAAGTGCACCACAACTCATATTTTAAGAGGTTGCCATTTAGATGCCTCTTGCCAAGTATACGTTCACAGTCCATGAAGAGAGAGGAGGCAGTGAGGGGAAATGGGCTACTTGCATCCACTGCCATAAGTATTCTAGAGTATTAGCTATTGACATGGATTTGCTCACACTGTATTGTAGTTCAGATAACTAGGGTACATACCACTGGGGGGGACACCGCAAGAGCTAAAACTGCTAATAGAGCTGAGCCTTCCTAGACCGCAGCTGCGATTGGGACCATGCGGTCTACTGTCAGGGTTGAGACTCCACAGCCTATTACCAAGATAGATGACCAGAGAAGTATTGCTCAGGGCATAGATTCTCTTAATATGAGGATAACAGAAAATGTAACGTGTTCGGGCCAGGCCCTAGTCACGTAGCGGTACGATAGGAGCAGATGGCTTTGTGATAAAAAAAAAGCGAGCGCTGCTTGCTAAAGGAGGCTTCGAACGGGGTGTAATAGGAGATCAAAGAAGTAACCGTTCAACCAAGTATATTTAAGAATACTGTCTGTCGAAGTCTGCTGTTTCCATCGCGGGAATCAGCGGTCTTTAAATACAGCATATCGCTTATCTCCAGTATGAGCGATATTGCAAAACATTGTGTGTATCAACCGATAGCACACGAAACAATACAAGTATCAAACGATACTGTAAAACCAAACATAAAACATTGTGTGTATCAACCGATAGCACACGAAACAATACAAGTATCAAGCGATACTGTGAAACCAAACATAAAATCCTAGTAACCCGTACCGGTTACAGAAAAGGTCAAAGTAAGTATAATAGATTCAGGTTAACCCAGAACTATGGTAAGTAGTCGCACAAAGGATTCAGGGTCTCTTTAAGAATCAATGGATACAGGCTTTGATGACCAATCTTTGGATTGTTACTTGCTCCTGGGATCATTTATATCCATTATATGTTTTTGTTTGCAATTAATAACCTAATTCAATTTTATTAATATATCTACCAGGTTGTTGTCAAATATGTCTACTTAGACTTGGAAACCGAAAAAAAGATAAAGAGGAATATTCAGTCACAACTTCCTATGCTTGAGTTGAAGGTTCAGGTGCAGATTGCCTCATTGGAATGAAAGATTCTGTCAGAATTAGCCCTGATAGAAGCAAGATTAAGGGTGAGTACCATCCAAGAGGGTACTGCAAAAAAACGTAGTATCAATTAAGTAATTAAAGAGAGGAGAAGGGCAGGGGATTCACATAGAATAACATAAAATCTCGTAAAATCTACTACTCTAAAAACCCTAGAGATTTGGTATCTCAGGCACTCCTCTAATCTCCAGATTCTGGGTCAACAAACTTCTGAAAACGATTAGTGTTTTCCCAACATGGTATAAGATTGGCACACTTGAGGTATTCGATCTCTTTAACCAGTATTCAAAAATCTGTTAACCTGTCAAACTAAACCAAGAATAGGTTAACAGGTTGATTACAGTTTCACAATACATATACCTTACTACTTTAGATAAACCAATCACCTTGTTTATAGAATTTAAACCTAAAGTCAATACTGGTATTAACAGAGACTGGAATGTCAAGCTGTCCATCTTTGTATCATCCATTGCATCACCCATTGCGTCCCTTGCAACACGAAATGGGATATAGACAGCATGCACTATTTTAAACTACAGATGTGTTCTACACTTATCATATAGATATGTAGCACCCAACACACCTCTGCCCACTTATAAATTGTAACTTTCTTGTCACAAACAGTGACAGCACTGAAAGAGTGGTTATGTTGTGGGACGGGCTCAGGTATGGAATAGAGGGAGGTATGGTTGAGCTTATGGGTAAGGTGGATTAGTTAGGCTCGCATATGATGACTCACAGTTGAGGTCATGGGGTCTCACACAATATAGTATTGTGGGTCATTGGTATGTTATGCTTGATTGATACGCTTGGATGCCTTGCAGTTGTAAGTTATACAATATTGTGACTTTTACATATAACTAAGTTAGCAAGTCATGGGTCTTACACATATGACGTGGTTAGTGTATATGACTATAGCAGGTGACTCAGGGGTATGACTCACAGGGTTAGATTTGATGTACAGAGTGAGTATAGAAGAGGTCATTAGGATCTAAGAGATTGAGATCTGCATGCTATCATCTTTCTATCTTCTTACCTATAACTTTACTACTTTACTCGTTACCTATGTAGCCATATCACACATCTACTCTCATGAACAAGTTATCAGATCGGAGCTGGGAGTGCTTAGATATCTGACTGGTAAGAAGAAGACTAGTCACAAACATTCAAGGCTAAAGTATTGTTACGTATGTCAGAGAAGCACTAACTGGTTGGAATTGTTCTATTTGGTAGCATCTATTCAGAATATGCCCAACAATACAATCAGACAAGGTAGTAGCAACAGCAATCCAGTGATAATGACAAAATAGATTACAACAATAATGAAATCACTGATCACCTGGAGCTTTCAGGACTAGCAAAGGAGTTATAATAGGTAGCAAGTTTTTAGGGAATAGACAGATCCACAATCCTGGTCAGACTCGAAGAACAACAAGAAGAAGAAACCTAGAGATCGGATGGAGAAAGAGAAACCAGGATGTCAGGAAGAGTAACAGGAATGGCCGTACTGCCAGTCTAACCAGTACAAATGATACCTGAACAACTAACAGACTTACTGGTAATGCTCCAGATGGGCGGACCTAGTGGAGGCAGCATGCTGAAGGCCAAAGAAACTAAGGGCTTCAAAGGTGAACGTACAAGGATAGGAGAATTCCGCATACAACTTGAGTAGTACTTCTGAGTCAAAGAGTATGGGGACTAACAGGATACTACCAGTGTAGCATATACCAGGTCACTGTTGCATAACATAGCTAGCCAATGGTTAACCCTCTATATCCAAGGATTGAACAATCGAGAATAGGAAATGAGGGAGAGTTTCAAGAAAGCTCTCCGAGAACAGTTCAGAGACTTCAATGTGTAGCTGCAGGTGCAAAACAAGCTGGAAACTATGCAACAAGGGAACAGGAACATGACAAGTTTCTAGCACAAGGGCCAATAGCTGGCTCTGGAGGCCAAATACCAGAATGAAATGTTCTGATAGTTTTTGCTCGAAGCCTGTACTACTCCGTTGTAAGACGTATGGGGCAGGGTTGAAACCAAGTTCATAACTATGGCAGATTCCACTGTATGAGTAATGGAAGGAGAATAATGGCTGAATATAATCAAACATATCCAGGTGGGAAGGATGATGATGAGCAAATACAGAATAATACCACAAAATCAAGAAAGAATATTCAGACCAGCACCATTCCTGACAATCTACGGGGTTGATACCATAGACCTAAACATGACAAGAAGAAGGTCAAACCACAACCTGTCCTGGTAGGAGTTCGAAGAAAGGATGAAGGGCAGCCTATGCCTAGAATGTGGCAAGTGTGGCCACACATTATGCAATTACAGGCTGCCCAGGGGTGGATAAACCAGAACTCAATAAGAACGAACAGGGCCTGTGAGGTCAGGACTACATGCATTAGCTGTAACAAAGCTACAAGAGATGAATCTCAACACTGAGAATAACAAGGAGGAAAAAGATGACTGTTCCTGGCAAGTGGTGGTCTGAGGAATAGGAAGTGACCGAAACCCAACACCCTAGCAAATTCTTATATACTGTCATGGGCAGAACTCTGGCAATGCAAAGTTTATCACATCATGGTTAAGACTCTATTACATGGAGAAAATAAAACACTTCTGATACATGTGATGATTGACTCCGCAGCGATAGAGAACTTTATTGACAAAGAAATATAGGACAAAGACAGCATCGCTACTATTCAGGTCAAAAAACCAAAGGATATGCATCAAGTAGATAGAGCAAAAAGTGTTTTGAAGCTGATTACCCATAAAACGCAAGTACTTATAGATATTGGTTGCTACAGGAAAACTGTGACCTTCCTGGTAGCCAAGTTGTAAAACTTCAAAGCAGTCTTAGAGATGCCCTAGATAAGACGATACAGTTCCACAATCGGGTGGGCAAATAACTAGACCACGGTTTCAAATCCATGATGTGAGAGGCAATATCTATATAATTCACCAGTCGTATACATGACCCCCAAAGTGGAAGCCTGGGAAGAGAACTTGGTCACAACATTCTGCAAGCTTCCGGCTAGGAAAGATAGAAGT